CAACGTTTTACAGCTTGGAGATGACTGATACATGAGTGATTGGTCCGTTTCTGAATGAATGTACCACCCTTCCTCATGGATTAGACATCCAAAGGGACTTCAAAAATTTCATTGGGAAAAAATCTAGATCTTTCAAGTCCATTTTCTTTTAACTTTTAGCCTCCTCATAATTAATTACCTAATCAGATAAACGTTTGTAACACAGTTGACTAGCATATGGATATAGCAATATTCCAAAAGTCCTCGAAATACTTATGTACAGGACATTTCTGAAAGACTAGATTTAGCTTTTTAAAAATTCCTGGACTGTCAATTGATCATTCCTGGTTGTGGCCTCATTTCTAAGAATTTAAAGGTTTTTAATAGATGTTTCTTCTATCTTCTTCATATTCTCAGAATGGGAAAGTTACTTGGATGGTTACAGAATGGGAAAGTTTCATTCTGGCAGAATGAAAGTGACCTCCACAGTCACCGCTGTCTTACAGCCAAAGCAAGGTCTGCCCCTGTTGAGAGCGATCCCATTTCTCAGTGGAGAGCGAGCTGCTTGAGGGTCTCTTTGCAAACATCTCCCCCAGGTTCAGATGTGAACATCTCCCCCAGGTTCAGATGTTGAGTGCCGACTTTTGGGGGTGTGGGGTAGGAGGGCTCTGTATTGCTCTGCCCTGCTTTATTTCCTCAACAGCTTTTCAAAGAGCTCTGAAATATCCCTCTACTAGATGCTCTATGCAATATGAAATATAATACAAAAAATGTAAACTAAGAATACACTGGCATTAGAATTAAGGGATATATTATATACCTGTGATAGGATGTGAACAAAAGAACAAAGAGAGTCTGGTATGATGGACATTTTAATGGTTGAGCTTTATTCCATATTTAAGAACAAAGTAATGTGAAGCAATGAAAGCACTTCTTTTTAAAAAGGTTATTCTCTCTCCTGTTGTAACCAACATCGCAGTCCTTCCACATTCTCCCCTTTACTTAAAATCATTGCTGAGAAAGGATGGTTACAAGAGAGGTGCTGTAGAGGGTTCATACCCAAATGTGCTGCTGTCCCGTCAGTCCCCACTCAGCATCACTCAGTGTGTTCCAGAGCGACACCTCTCATTGGTTTTTCTGGGCTGTACTTTTGATAGAAGCAGTTCTGGCCTTTTTTCCAAGTTCCTCATGAAAGATATTTGTGAAGAAGAGGGTGTTAATAGGTTCCTTTCCATTGCAAGCCACAGAAACCCCAACTGCATCGCCGGAAAGTTTCCGGTGTTTCCAGTGCAAACAAAAGGGCCGTGGGTTGGGGCGGGGTCTTGAGGGTTGGGAGCCCCTGTGTGGTACAAACAGTTTATGCATGCAGCTGCTAACTGCAGGGTACGGGCTCAACTAAACCCAGGGGCACGTGGAAGAAAGATCCTCTTCTTAATAAACTGGAAACCCTCATGGAGCAGAGTGTTAGTCACACACAGGTGGGCTCCCCATGAGTCTGAGTCACCTCTGGCGACAGGTCATCTCTCGTGGAATTAACAGCAAAAAGGAATAAACTCGATCTCAGAGACAACAGGATTGAGGGATTCCATCATTCCCAGGATATTGCCCTTTTCTCTTCCCAGACATTTTGGTAGTCTTTCAGGATTGAGTTCACTTCCTCGGGAAGATGGAACCATAGCTGCTCCGAGCTGCTCTATCCACCCTTTCATGCAAGCACTCGAGCAACCTTTCCTTCCAGCTCCAAGGCGAAGAAGGCCCAGAGGGAAGGCCTGTGACCAGGAAGATTGTGGCACGAGGGCTGAACTCGGAAGTCAAGAATGGCTCAAATGAAATTGGAGAAAGATCTGGTTAGTGATCAGGGCAGTCCCGTGTGGTGGGAAAGCAAGATGATCCCGGCTGGACTGTTTCTAGTTCTCTGTCCCTGAGAAAATGGTGCCTTTCTGAGCTTCACTTTTCATCATCTCTGAGGCAGCTCTGCTTGTGAACCCCAGAAGGCTGTGGGGTGGGTCGAGTGAGTTGATGAATGTGGACGAAGCAAAGAGATGGAAGATCATTCACTTCACCGCCACTGCACGCTCTTTCCATAGACATTTTCTTGAGCCAGGGATTATGTGTTCTATCTCACAAGGTACAGCGACAGTACCTTGCTCCCATGTGCTTAATAAATATGTGTTTATTGCTATGAGAAACAAATGGCAAAGTTTCACTTCCAGTATCCCCCAGTTAAATGATTTGGGTCTTCACTAACACCAAAGACAGCCTCAGAAGGACCTGGTACACTCAGTTTGTATGTTGAGTTTTCGCCAGCTTCACTGAGAGCAAAAAAAAAATTTTTAAGCCATTCCTTTTCCTATTTAAACAACTTTATTTTCCTTGTTGTTACTTTTGTTTTCAGTTTTCCTCTGAAAAGCAAGAAGTGCAAATATCCAAGTAACAAAGCCCTTCTGCTGGGCCAAAAGGGCGTGTCTTAACAGGTGACAAGGCTGAGCTCCATCCAGGGGGGCAGGGGGAGAAATGGGAGCAACCATCCACAAACTGAACAGTTTCTCCCATTCCAGTTCTCCCCACCGAAACCCTATTGTGCTAGACAGAGCCTGGGTCTCCAAAACCAAAACCTCTATTGCCACTTTTCACTGTAAATAATAATAATAAAGCTCTTTTTCATAAGCCCTTCAGTGAGTACCTACATTTGTGGAAGATAGGTATTTTTGAATTAAGTGGTTAAGGTCCGTGGGTTGAGACTCACCGACCTAACAGATTTGTAATAGAAATAGATGGGACGTGACCGTCTCTTCTCTATGACAGTCTTTCAGGTACAGATGATGACCTCACTGCTGACATGCATGTCTGTATGACATGCATGTCTTAACGACCCAAATCATTATTCATGGGTTACAATGAGACATTTTGTGTTGAAGAGGGCAAGGCTTGGAAGACATGACACAATTGGGTTTTCAGTTACAGTTACATTTTTATGCACTGCTTTTCCATTAAGAAATTCCCAGCTGAAAAGAATAGTTTCTGAATTCTCCTTACCAAGTCGTGTTGAAAATTTGAAATAGTCAAAACAAGTTTTATTTCACAGACTAATCATGCCCAGTGCAGTCAAATATAGCCGTGACAACTATATAGCACCATAAAGCCAATGTATTTTTACTCTGGAGACATGCGCCTATGTTAGAACATTAAGTCTAAAGAGAATATATCTGTGGGGCTTTTTAAAGTACATGATGAGTGCTAATAAATGTGGGTTTGGGGTGTTTTTGTTTTGTTTTTACATTTTTTCCATCAATGTAGCTGCACAATGTAACCATTTTATGATCTGTCGTAGAGGGACGTGTGTTGATAAATTGGAAGCAGACTACAGACTTACCTATTCATAGATAGGTAATTCGCTGCCAGCAAGTCAGCTCTGACTCAGGTTACCAGTCCAATGTGTAATCCACTACACTACCAGGTCTCCTATCACACGTAATGTACCACAAACTCCTGATTATAAAAAGTTCCAACAGTTTGGGAATTTACAAAGCATATCAACATTCTTCTAGTTAGAGAGCAGTGTTCATAGCTACTACCAGGTGAATGAATTCTTTTTATGGTGCGTCCCGTCCCAGTCAACATGCCTTCCCTCTTGACAACGGTGATTGTTTCCAAAGTCAACTCCCAGTAATATTTGTACCTAACTCACAGAGTACTAAAACTGGGCCTTCTCTCCCTGCTGACCACTCTTAGGCGGGGTTATTTAAACTGCCAAGAGTCCACAGTATTGCTTTTTGCCCCAACCTGGGCCTGCTTATTGGACCACATCCTTTGTGGACCTGTGTGCACGGAGTTCACTGCTACCCCAGCATTGTGTGTCTATGCAGTGAGTAGGATTGAGTGGTTGGAATCCTGGCTACACCGGAGCCGCAACTGTAGGGTGGAGGCAATTACATTGGTCAGAAGCAGCACTTTATCTTTTCCACTTAAAAGCATGCTCTAAGTCGAACTTCTCCAGATGGATTTTGCATTGAGTGGCGCTGTTGGGTGAGTCTTGGGCTGCTGATTAACTGCTCCCTCAAACCTGCCAACCACTCTTGGCAGAAAGACCAGGCTGACAGGTGCAGTAAAGATTTACATCCTTGGAAACCCCATACAGGGTTGCTGTGAATTGGAATCCATAGGATGACAGTGGATTTTCATTTTTGGTTGGTTTAATTTACATCTAAGGATTCAAACACAACTCGTGTCTACAAAATGGAGAGTCTTGCAAGGTGAGACCTCTGCCTGATGTTCACACTGAGAACACTGCGGTGTTTAGAAATCCTTCCCCGAATGGTGACAGTACGGCTGAGCTCCTGGGATTTCCAACCCAGGTTAGGATTTGTGTGGAGGGTGCTGATTTTATCTGTCACTACAGTTGGTGACTCTCAATTTGGTTAGTCATGGTGTCAATACCTCCCTGCCCATGGACCTCCTCCCATATCAGGCCGTGCAGAATCCTTAGTAATGTTTATTATCAACTGTAATGATAAGAATATATTGTAAACATAGCTATAAAGTGCTTAATTGCAGTGTTTATTAGACTATAAGAATACAACAAAATTGTAAAGTCTTTGCATTGATTACAGCATCATTCATAACAGAGTGGACACTGTTTGATTTTTCTCATTTTCTCTTAATTACTATTTTTTTCTCAAAAATGTTACTGATAGAGACTCACAAATACTAATTACCAAAATGTTTTAGCTCAAACACCAGAAAATTTGACAAAATCAGCAACTATAAAAACACTAGCCACCTCAAAAGCGACCAGAGTTTTCAGATGAAACCACATGATCGGGTAAAAATGACATTTCAACATGCGCAATGGAAGGTGTAAGAAGTAAATCAACTTAGAGCATTAGCCTTGTGAGAATACAGATATGTCTAAGATTGACTTGCAAAAATGGTTTTCTTCTTATTACTCATGAGTACAGGTATATGTCTTCATAAAAATAATACCTTTCCGTTGAAACTCTGCACAAACATTGCCGGTCATTTTAGTTTGAATCTTGCCCAGAGCATTCTGTAGCCCTCGGCCCGCCCTTAGGGATCCCGTTGGCTCTAGTGAAACAGAGTAGCTTTGCTTCAGCTTGTTGGACTGGGCTTATGGTCGAATCAGAATTGAGATTCCGGAATAAGAGAGGGCCCCCGATCCTCCCACAGTCATCATATCTGAGGTTGTGGCACTCACACAATGAGGACTTGAATCGTTTGGGATGTTGTTGGACAAAGCACTTAACAGTGCTCTTGAAAACCAGGAAGCTCAGCTCCGTACAATTCAGCAGAATGCATAGGCATGAGGTTAGGACCAAGAAGAGGATGAAGATGGATTTCTCGGTGGGCTTGGAGATAAAGCAGTCCACAGTGTTGGGGCAAGGCTTCAAAGCACACTTCACAAGGTAGGGAACACTGAAGCCACCATACAGCTTATAGAATAAAACCAGAAAGCCAATTTCAAAACTGATCTTAACAATGAGACTGAAAAGGTAGGTGTACCACAGGCCCCCGTCCATCACACCTGGGCTGGCATAGAGTTTCTTTCTGTGCCTTTGCTCTCTACCCTCACGATAGGCTACGTGTAGAACCACCAGAAGCGAAGGTGTCGAGACCATGATCAGCTGCAAGGCCCAAAGTCTGACTTGGGATACGGGGAAGAAGTAGTCAAAGCACACATTTTCGCAGCCAGGCTGTCTAATGTTGCACTCAAACTCTTTCTGCTCATCTTTCCACACATGCTCCGCTGCTACCATGTAGACCAGCAAACGGAAGATGAACACGACAGCCAGCCAGATTCGCCCAATCCCAGTTGAGTATTGATTTACTCCGCTTAGGAGGTCTCTGAGGAACATCCAACTCATGACCTAGGCTCAAGAAAGGCAAGACTCTGCAAAAGAAAACAATTCCATCATGATTTCTATTCCACTGATTCTTTCCATGGCTTGATTTACTCATGGAAGAGGAGCTCAATATTATTTCTGCATTATTACGACATTATTACAGCTCTGGACTTAGAAGACTCTCTTAGAAGACCCAGAAGATATGCTTGCTTTCATATAAGTAGATGACACCGCAGTTCTACAAACATAATTGAATTCATCCCCACTTTAATGTGGAATTTGGTGGTCATTCTACTCCCACTCCCCACCCCAGCCCCACACCCATTCTTAAACAGTGGTTGGCTAAATCCTTTTGGTTTTTTAAAAATTGCTTCCTTTTAAAGCCTCATGAGTTTTGTTACCACTCTGGGAAGAACTAGATATAAATTCCAACTTGACTGTGGTGTGCAACTGGTACTTTGAGATGTCCTTCATTTGCAAGCTCCTTGAAATTGTCGTCTCTACATTTCCTAACTTATGAATGCTCCCCCAATACTTATTCCCCACCCCTGACTGCCCTTATGTCCCTGTCCCATATCTGCAACTGACTTTGTACAATTGATACTACCAAGTGAGACTCTCCAAAATTTGGCCCTCCTCAAATTTATGCTTCCTCGCCCTTTGGACTTATTTACACTTAGATTTATTATTACCTTTAGACTTATTTACACCCGCATCCAATTCACCCCTATTGCCCAGTTTGGAGAAGAGCTTTACTTCTCGTGCTTCACACAATTCCAACTCGACCTCCCACTGTTTTCTTTGTTCTGTATTCTGTAACCTCTCCCCTGCTCTCAGCATATACGTATGCTTAACCATTACTCGTCAGTGTGGGGCGACAATCTCGTTCTGATAATCACTCTGTCGTCCTTTCCATAGCTGGGATTGACTCTCAACTCCCACAGCCTGGTGGCTTTGCTAACCATTGCACTGTCAGAAGTACTACTCATTACCAAATCTAGACCTTTAGATCACCTTTTTTCTATCATGTGGGACACTGTTGCCTACACTTGTGCTCTTTTTTTTTTAATACTTTTATTGCAGGCTCTTACATCTCATCACAATCCATACATTCATCCAGTGTGTCAAGCACATTTGCACATATGCCGCCATCATCATTTTCAAAGCATTCTCTTCCCACTTGAGCCCCTGATATCAGCTACCCATTTCTCCCCCCTCCCTCCCCCACGCACCCTCCCTCATGAACCCTTGATAAGTTATAGATTATTTTTACATATCTTCCAGCATCCTCCTTCACCCCTCACCCACTTTTCCATTATTCAGGAGGGGGTTCTAGGTTGATCCTTGTGATCGATTCCCCCTTTCTCCCCCCACCCTCCCTTAATCCTTTTGGTATCTCTACTCTCCTTGTTGGCCCTGAGGGGTTTATCTATTCTGGATTCCCGGTATTGCGGGTTCTTCTCTGTAGCAGTGTGCATGCTCTGGTCTAATCTGATTTATAAGGTAGAATTGAGAGCATGATAGTGGGGGGAAGGAAGCACCAAAGAGCTAGAGGAAAGTTGTGTGTTTCATCGGTGCTATACTGCACCCTGACTGGCTCATCTCTTCCCTGTGACCCTTCTGTCCACAGATGGGCATTGGTTCTCTACCCCATGCCCCTCCCCACCCCCCATTCACCTTGGGTATGGTTTTATTCTGGGTCTTAGATGCCTGATACCAGATCCCATCGACACTTCTTCCATTACCCTTGTGTTCTTAAACTTCTATCAGCCTTGACTTCATAACTTCCCTTTCTGGTGTTCTCTGATTGCACCAGATCCATTTTCTTTGTCCTCTGTCCTTCTCACTACAGGTTACTCTAGGAAATCTTCACTCATCCCATGGATTCAACTACTCACTCCAAGCTCCTGACTCCCAAACCTTTGAATCCTCTACAGGAGGCTGTGTCTAACCACCTTAAGGCTGTCATCTGATGTTCCGCAGGTATCTCAAACTTGGTATGTTTACAGATAAATTCTCTTTTCCACCTCTCAATTCCCTTCTATTGAATGATATCACTAAAACTGAAGCATGCAAACTGGAACTCTCATCTTCATTCTGGACTCTTTAATATCATCCACCAAGTTCTGTTCCCTCCAAATCTCTCCCAGATTCATCTCTAAGTCGCTGTGAAAATCTCTCTCATCTAAGCAGGCTTTACAGTAGCCTCTGTTTCCAGCCTCCTCACCTCCTTCCCTCCCTTCCTAGTCCTCCTCGGTCTCGCTTTATCTCCTCGGCCCTCCCTCCACCTCTTTTGGCCTTTTCACTTGACAGCTGATGAGAATCTGGGGACCCTTCCTCATCTCAGTGACATTGATTTCTTGGCACTGTCTGCTTACATCTTATATTTGAACTCTGTGGGTGGGCCCTGATGTTTGTTTGTAAGGCCCATGGTCTTGTATTTGGGACTTTTTTACAACCACCCTAGAAGGAGTGATTTTTTTTTTTAATGGTGATGGCGGTGGTTTTGTTTGTCATTAAATGAGAAAGCAGATTCTGAGGAATAAAGCTATGTTCCCCAAATCTCAGAGTAAGTTAGAGAACAAGATTGCAATCCATTATTACACAGTTTCTCAAAAGCAATACTGTTGACATTTGGCATCATATCATTCTTTGGGAAGGGGTGCCGGAGGGCCTTGTAGAATGCTTAGCAATATCCCTGGATTTATTCACTAGATGCTTGTAGCCCCCAAATCCCACACCATTGTGACCACCAAAAATGTTTCCAAACCAAACCCAATGCCAACAAGTTGATGCCAACTCGCAGTGAGCTTATAGGACAGAGTAGAAGTCCCCTGGTGAGTTTCTAAGACTGTAACTGTTTATGGGAGTAGAAAGCCCGTCTTTCTCCCTCAGAGGGGCTGGTGAGTTCCAAATGTGGATCTTGCAGTCAGCAGCCCACCTCGTAAGCACTATGCCACCTGGGCTCCTGCAGGAAAGGTCTCCAGGCATTGCCCAATGTCCCTCAGGCTGGGGATAGTTCGACTCCTTCTCTAGCCTGGCGACTGCAATCAGAAGGGGTGGGCTAAAACTCTAGGTCTGTCACTAATTTGCCTTATGATTTCTCAGATGAATACTTTGCTCCCGGAAGTTTTGTTTCCTATTATAAGAATTAATCCCATCTGGCCGTTTCCATAGATTCAGAGAAAAGAGCATCATGGCCGTGACAATGTGTGAAGGGAACCAGGGTTAAGGAAATGGAAACATTGTTCAAAGAGCACACCTGCTGGCCTACAGCCCATTGTGTCTTCGAGGGAACAATATGCAGCACGCCCACAAGCCAGCACCCTAGGGAGATGTATGAAGGTTACGGGGTGTTTGAAGAGAGAGCATTTTTTCAGAGAAATTACGTACACAATGCTCTATTCAGCAGGGAATAAATACTTCAGTGTCCTTGGTTTTCAGAACACAAACAAAATTGTATTAAGTAAAAAGGATTCTCAAATCCACCTGAAAGGTTAATGTCTCTATGAATTATTAAAACAAAACCTCAAAGATTAAAAAGGGAGTTGAAAGGTATTCTATTTCCCTATGACATGAGTCACTGGGCACTTATCGATATTACCCAAAGGATATTTATGCAATGTTATCAAAGAGCTGAGAGTACCCACCTGGGCATTTTAAAGAGGGGAGGAAGGTAAACATAGATCCCAGAATAAGGAATAACTTCCAAGGTTCTGGCTTCAACACAGGCGAATGGTAGTATAATTTACTGACAAAATGCAATCTTAGTAAATAGGAGGGTTTTTTCCCTAGCCCTGTTCATATGAAAGTAGACTATGATTAATTGGGAATTAATTAATTGGAACTCTCCCTATACTAGCCCTTTAAAGGTTGAAAATAGTGAAATCATTAGCTCAGCATTTTTACCTTTGAATGTCATAATTCCAGATTATCTCCTTATTTCTCATAAGGGTCTTTGATTTACCTGATCGCTTAAATTGCCAGAGAATTCTCTCTGCTTTCAAGAGTATACCTTGAGTTCCAGCTGCCTCTTTGCTATCCCTGCTAAGATGTTTTCTCAGAAGCTTCAAGGCCTAACAGTGAGCTCATGCTGTTATTTCCTCAACCCCACCCCACTCCCCCAAAGGTTACTGAACTAGGGCCGTGCGTTGGTGGGAGGGAGGTGTGGGGGCAGAATATGTTATCCTTCTCACGGCTCCAAGTCCTACATCCAATTTTTATCTAAGTCCAAAATTTCTCAAATACATCCCAAAACGTTTCACTCACTTCATCTGCACGGCCATCACCCTCATCTAAGCCACCCTCAGCCTAGCGTTGTATCTGTCCTCTCTTTTTTTGTTCTTGGTCTCCTCCAATGCGTTCTTCATTAGATAACCAGAATAATCTTCAAAATGGACAGTATAGCATCTTACTTCTCTGCTTAAGACTTTATGACTTCCTATCGCATTCAGAGAAGTAACAGAAGTTAAGTTCAGCTGAACTGAATGCCAAGGCCTGTGTAGCATCAGCCCTGCCTGTCTCTCCAGGCTCGTCATGCACAACTGCTAGGCACCAAGACTTCCAGGTCTACTCCCTTTCTTGTACTTCCGCCTTCAGGTTCTGCATCTCTTCTGCCCTCTTGTCTGTGAAACTCTTGTCTCCTTTTGCCTATTCAGATAGTACTCCCTCAGAGACAGGTTCTCTGATCCCAACAATCCTTAGTATTCTTTCTCATAATACTGGCTTCATGACAACTTTATGCAGGGCATGAATGATTCATGCATCTGGTTTTTATACAACTTGGATTATGTCTTTCAAGTGATTGAATTTGCTCGATTCCAATTTACTAAACAACCTTCTCAGTAAATACTTTTCCTCTCCGGAGTCCTTGAGCTTTGCAAAGAAGCTAGATTATCTCCTTATTTTTCATAAGGGTCTTTGATTTCCCTGATCTCTTGAGACTAGATACAAGAATTTCAATCACTGAAGAGCTGCAGCCATTGCTACCATACTGAGATGGCATCGACTGAATAAATCAG